AAAAAAAAAGACCGAAGAAACACTATTATTGGAGTATGTGCAACAAATTAACTCCAGACTTGACCACCTCTGCCGAGCTACGGATACTGAAGCAAACCTCCCTCCGCAATTTTGTTCCAATAATTACGGAAGTGGCTCCGCAGCTGATCCAAAATACGAGGAGCGGTCATTGCGAGAAGCCGAAGTGTTGACAGTAGCGCACCAGCAATGAAACAATATCCACAGGGATTCTTATGTAACCTAAGAATAGCATATAGAATAGGGATGTAATCACCACTATCTGCAGCATCCAGCCGAAATCTTTCCAACAAAGTTCTACGGCTCCAACATAAGCTGTATAGAGTTGTTATCAACTGCACTGTAAACACTATTTCCAAGTACCATCCCGGAAGTAGTAAAATGCAGTTCTTAAAAGAGCAACTGAGCATAATATTTCCTGTAAATGAAAATGTAATTTTTAGACGCACTGTCAGCGGATATAACAACTTATAGCTCGTGCAGGAGACGTAGTGATCTAATAAATTTGAGGAAACGGGGAGGTGCATTCGCAAGGCATCGGTAGCATCCACTTCGAACAACAGAAAGAATCCGGTTTTTAAACTCCTCATATTCTGTAACGTTTCTATGGTGAAGCTGCTGCGCCTGTCGGATTGTATTTTGTTCCTCCTGAGGAAAATTGCTGGATTTTTCTCCTCCGTCGCAAGCGTAATTCTTCAATTCAACCATTTGTATGAGTTGTTTTTCAAGCAAATATTTCTGCATTGATTTATTTGAGCTGCAGAGCTTGTTTGAATCTGCTCAAGCTCTGTCTCGAAGCAATTTGAATTAATTAAACGGCCGACTTTGACGAAATTTCCCATGAATTTCTATAGCTTCTGGATTCTAAAATCGGGCTGTTTCCAGATGGCATTTGAAGGGTCAGGCTCAGTAGCATCTGCAGTTTCGTAAAAGTTAAAAAACTTGCAGTGTGGAGTATTTTGTAGCAGCCGAACATGTCATCTGTAAGTTATTCGTTTCGACCAGTGCATTCGGAGCAACGTCGTGTGATCCATAAATATGCGAGTTATTTTTGGCATCGGAACGAAAAGTTATGATCAGGAGCCTCAGAGGAATGTTGCAGCCACAGCGAAACGGTAAGCTTCTGAAGCTGAAGGGGGTTAGAATCACTGGAAAAAGAAGTGCCTGCTTCTGAACTTTATTTTTTTGAGAGGGTTTATAACGAAAAATTTCAGAGGTGTGAGTCGCTTGCCCGAAGTACTCCTTACAGCCTGTTCAGCAAAACCATCAGCAACAACTTCTGCAGCAGTGTTAGTTAGACGTTTTCGCTTTGACCAAGTAAGATAGGCATTCGAGAGTCACAGTACTTGTAGTATGGGATATTTCAATTCAGCAAACAAGCAAGTTCCGGTTCTAAAATTTTGCCAGTGGTTTCCCTGGCTAAATGCCATCCCAGGATCGCAGTATCAATCTCCACGTGCGTCTGGGCCCCGCGTACGAGCATTTTAAAGTTTTGGCGAGTGCGGACATTTGACAGAAGACTGTTAAACCGACACCGTGCATTCTGCGTCTTTTTATAACGTATTATGCCATTGAGTTCACTGACGCTGAAATAAGTAGCACTCTCACATGCTGAAGGTCGAAAATATACCTCCGTTAGGGACAGCCGTTCCTTCAACGGTACATTCATTCGTTTCGGTGGTAAATTAGTACTAGCACGTACCACCAAGTAATAACCACCATCAGTCTTCAAAATAGTATTCAGAAATGTGTCGAGGCATCAAGAACCCTTTCAGGCATTCTTTCTGCTGACAGTGTTATTGCTCGTGCATTCTTTTGAACATAAGAGAAGTTTTGTTCTAATTTGATGCGTAATGTCCACGATTAAGGTGCCTTTGAATTTTTTCTATTTAAAGTTGTGTTTTTTGTTTACCTTTTGCAGGTGAGCAATATCAGTTGAGTAACATTTCCATTGATTTTTTTTCGGGCGTTTTTTAAGCAAAAAAAATTTGCAGGAATTAGCAAAATGAAGTGCCGAAATCGAAAACGTATCGTGAAATTTATAATGCAAAAATTTACCAGTGTTATGGGACTGTTTTCATTGCAGGGTAAGCCATGCGGCGCTAGTAGCATCATCATCAAGTCGAGCGATACCGTCAGTTTCAAATTATTTGTCTTGGAGCACGGAAACTGGAACGCAGCAGTTGCAGTGTGGCGTAAAAGCATTCAAGAGGGGTTCAAGAGATCCATCTAGCGTGTAAAAATAAAATTTCTTTGATTTATCTGTGAAGTATTTTCACGATGGCGTAGATTTTTCACATAGCGATACGGGTTTTCAAGATTCGTGATATGTTTCCGTAATTCCGGAGTTTTTCATTAATCCATTCCTAGTGCGCTGTTCTTGGCCTTTTTCTGTTTGCCTGATGTATCTTTTTGCTGTCAGTATTTCTAGTGAATTAGTTGTTCGTTTCTGCCAAGATTTTACGGCGATTTATTTACGTTGTGTTTTATTATTATTCGTTGGTTACTATGTTCAGTTTTTTGTCTTTTTATTCGCTATCAGTGGCTTTACTTGCTCACATTTTTCTTGTGATTTTAACTGTAAGATCAAGCCTCAAAATATGAGGGAGATAATAAAATTTCGTATTTTTCTGACTGAAAGAAAAAATGATACGCGCGGGGAAGGCAGCCGATGTTAAAGCTTCTACCCTGATAGTCATATAATTTGATTTGAAATGGCACTATGAGATCCAGCGACAGGAGAACGAAGCTAGGCGAGTTGTACTCTTTTCCCAGCTGGTACCGCGCTTTCGGTCGAAGAGGATATTCCGTAGCTGTCTTATATACATTTTGAAATCACTGCTCCAGGTGAAGAATTGCCCGTCTTGCACTGAAAGTGCCAAGTGACATTGTCCAATTTATCTGGTTTAAGGGTACTTGTTTGATAGCACGCAAAAATTTAAAATCAACTTAAGGCCATTAATCAGTTTTGTGCGGGGTTATAGTGAAGAGGATAACCGTCCAAATCATCTCAGTGGAGGAATAAGTGTTGTTTCAGGCGAATCAATAATGCCCTGTTGCTCTTTTAATTTTTTTTTCTTTGCATGTACGGAGAAAGGTTCGGAATGAGAGCATTTTTCACTAGAAGAGAGGAGGAGGGAGGATATAAGGTTTAGGTTAAATTAATACCCTTAAAACTTTTTATTTGGTTGTAGTGCTTTCATGAACAGTTCCACATTGTTTACTCGAATTGTCAGTTATGCCGCTAATAAAGAACGTTTTACAAAACACTCTCTGTCTTGCTGGAATGTTTTGGCTTGAAATATGGTTCACATTTGAAGCAAGGTAGTTTGTAGTGTAGTTACGCATTTTTGCTCTAAACCTGAACCGTTTAGATCATCAACAGTGTGGGTGGTCATTCCCAGATGAACAGAGGAATAAAAGATTTGATTGTGTGCTTTCTTGTCTTGGTGTTCGCTCACGTCAGTTATTGCAGGAACGATACAAATCACAAAATATATACGTTTATCAAACATTAAACCTTTCTGATCACATTTACTCGATGGGTAAAGAAAGCTGCTGGTTTTGTTGACAAACGGTTACGTCACGCATTGACGAATGGCGCTCTCAGTAGAATAAGCGTCTACTCGGACGGCTTCCACAGAAGTTGCGCACATACGTCAAACAAGGTGGGTGCTAATGAAAGTTTGCAGTTCAGGAGCGAAGGGCCCGGCATAGCTGCACGCGGCGTTTCGGAGGATACGGATAATACCGTTGAAATAAGGCACCGAAATTAACATCCGAAGGGATTTTAGTAACATTGGCAATTGCGTATTCCCAATTTTCAGAAGCATTAACTCATGATTACTCGAGTCACATTTATAATGTAGAATTAGAATGTGAATGATTTCTTTCGGTACGGTTTTTCCTGGTCATTCATGTTTTTCTAATCATTCGTGTTTTGTCGCAAACGCAACATGTTTTCCCATCAGTATGAGTCCGCATTTGCTCTTCTAAATAAATTTTTTGCCTGAAGCTCGAATTGCAGTGATCACATTTAAACAGCTTCTCACTAGTATGAGTTCGCATGTGTCTTCGTAAGCTTGATTTACGGCTGAAGGTCGAGTTGCAGTGATTACATTTAAACGGCTTCTCACCAGTATGAGTTCGCATGTGTCT